GAGCGATTTCTTGCAACTCAGGATTTTTTTGGTGAACAAGTGGAGGACATTCGGAGAAATGAAGGGGGGGGGGGGCAGGCGGGACCCGATTTTTTTTATTTATTTACGTCAAAAAACAGTTGAAAACTGTGTGACGTGCTATGGGGAGAAGTTAATTTGAAGTTACATTTATGGCCAGAAGCAAAACAAGGGACCATCAAGGGACCATTTGCTAAAGGATCAGGGAAACTGGACGAAAACCTGACCGAGATGTATTCTTAGGCAATATTTACAGACTTTTTGGATCTTCAACAACTTTGTTGTTTTAGTTCTTTGGATGCCTCCACTTCAGAACAAGGGTGGTCAGAAAAGTGCGAAATCGATGTAAAACTTAAGTTTAAAGAAAATTATAGAAATAATTTCTCACAAACAAATTCAGGGGACCATTTGTTTTTCTGTGACTTTTATTCACAACACTCAGCAATATTCAATTACTTTCTCTTTCTTCGTACTGGGACTATAAGGCTTTAAAACTCAAGTCAGGGGATGGCCATTTGAAATAGAGTTCCACATTTACATCACTTTTCAGTTTTAAAACAATTATAATTTACAAAATGCAGAATGTGCAGAATTTTCACATCATCAGATAATTTCTATAAAGTATACAGCACTTTGATAGAGGGAAATATAAACTTGCAGACTTCTTTCAAATGTAGTTCATTGAATTACATGTGTACAGCCCCACTACCCTGGCAAAGAGCGTGTTGGTTACATTAAAAAGCACCAACATTACCTTTCATTCAGCAAGATCGTTTTTTTGGTACTATTTAATTCACAAGCAAAATAGAGACGATTGGAGTTCAAGGCTCTTCATTTTATCAACATTATTTCATCAACGTAAATTTAAGTCAAATCAAAATTATTTGCATTAAATATTAACAAAAAATACTTTTAATTCGACATTTAAAATATGCAGTACATCATGTCAGCTAACATAATTCTTAAGTATAAAATTGTATCACAGTAAAATGAAGAGACTCTCAAAAGAATGACTGAAACGACAAAACTTCATACTATCTGAAAAATTTGACTTTTGGTCATAAACATGATTCAGATCACATAGTATGTTCATGGGAAGGCACTCAGAGTGAGAATCCCATTTTGGTTAATACAACATTTACAAGGGAAATTTGTATTCCACAATCAAAGGACATTCTGTTAAAGTCACTGCTAAAACATCTTTATGATGTGGTACAGGTCCACTAACAATAAACAACTTGACAATTCAAACATCACTTGCCAACATTCATAGTAAAAAAACATATCACAATTTAATTTTAAGCATCACCATTCGCATTCTTCAGAAAAATTCTAAAATATAAATTTGAAAGTATTAGATTGAAGTTGATAAACAAAGAAACAATTGAATAAATGAAGATGGAAGATTGACTATTTGGTGTAACATGCAATTTTAATCCCTAGCACGTCATTAAATGTCATTTTCATTGTCCTGTGCAATATCTGTCTATTGATGCAGTGTTGATGTCAAATGCAATGGATTATTTATATTAAAAACAATCAAAGAAAAGTTTTCTGTAAAAGTGGGAAGAGTACAAAACATAAGAAACCAGCTCCTATTGGTATGGAATGCTTCACAAATCAATTCTCTTGCATGAATCATACTCTAATTTCCAATTCATCCAATCAAATAATCTATAATTGTAAATTTTAATCTGCATTGGCTGAAAAAGCATATAGTATACTCCAAATTCTTCCATTTAGTTCTGTAGACAAAATAATTGTTTTAATGTTCAAAACACACGTTTTGTACATTTATATGAACATCTCTTCAACTAGCTGCCTTTACTGTAAATATTGTTGATGCAATAAGTATTGACCTAAAAAACAAAGATTGAATTTATCTAT